TGTTTGTTTGTTTTGTTTTTGTTTGTTTTTAACAGCACGAGTTTATTTTCTCATTCATATGCAGACTAGAAATCAGAGGTCAAGATGCCATCAGGTTTGGTTTCTTCTCAGGCTCTCTCCCTGGCTTGCAGATGACCGCCTTCTCACTGTGTCCTCTTGTGGTCTTTCCTCTGTGCATGCATGTGTCTGGTGTCTCCCAGATCTGTGAATTTTGGCAAATGCATAGTCATGTTACCACCACCAAGCTATAGAACAAGCCCATCACCATAAACAATTCCCTCATCTTGTAATCAGTCCATTTCTTGCCCCCAGCCCCTGATATATTCACCTTCTCTATAATTTCACATTTTCCAAAATGTTGTGTGATTGGCATTTTACATTAGGTAGCCTCTTGAGTCTGATTCTTTAACTTGCCAATGCATTTGAGATTTGCCCCTGTTGTGTGGCTATCAAAAGTTTGATCACATTCATTGCCGAGGAGTATTTCACTGTGTGGATGTGACACGGTTCAGTTATCCATTCACTGGTCCAAGTGCATTTGGGTTATCTTCAGGTTTTGACGACTGTGAATTAAGTTGCTTTAGATATGTACATAAATTATTGTGGAAATATAATAGGTTTCATTTCATTTGGGTAAATAACCAGCAGTGGGATTTCTGGGTCACGGGGGACGTGTATGTTTATAAGAAACTGCCTCACTGATTCCCAGAGGTCACCACCACTGTCATTCCTGTCAACAAAGTATAACAGTTCCTGCTCCTCCGCTCCTTAACATCACTTGACACTGTTAGTTAAGTGATTCTAATATATTGTTATGGTTTTAGTTTGCAAATGATGTTAAATGTCTTTATTTGTACTTACTTGTCATCTGTAGATCCTCTTGTGTAAAGTGTTTGATCAAGTCCTTTGCCCATTTATTAATTCTGCTGGGTTTTAAGAGTTGTTTATAAATTCTGTCAGATATGTGATTTGCAAATATTTTTCCAGTCTGTAGTTTAGTTTTTTATTTATCAGTCTGTCTTATTGATCAAAAGTTTTACTTTTTCATTAAAAAGTGCAGTTTATCGATTTTTTCTTTTATGATTTTGCTGTTGATGTCATTGCCTAAACCTAGGCCATGAAGAATGCTTTGCCTAAACCTAGGCCATGAAGATTTTCTTCCATGTTTGTTATTTTTCCAGAAGTGTTATAGTTACATGTCTTACATCTAAATCTGTGCTTCATTTTGAGTTAATTTTTGTATAAGATATAATGTTTAGTCAAAGTCCATTTTTTTTTTTTTTGGTAATGGATGTTCAATTTTCTAGTACCATCTATTAAAAAATTATTCTTTCTCCACTGCACATTTGTAAAAAATCAGCTGGTTATATTTGTGTGGTTCTGTTTCTGAGTTATCTGTGTTGTTGCATTGATCTATGTGTCTATCTCTCCTCAAACACCAAACAGTCTTGGTTATTATATTGTATAATAAATCTTAAAGTCAGATAGACTGATTTCCCCTTGATTCTTTTTCAAAACTATTTTAGCTATTCTGTTTCCTTTACCCTATAAATCTTAGAATTATTGTGTGTACATCTATAATTTTAGAATTATTGTGTGTACATATAAAAAAATCTTCCCAGGATTTTTATTGGAATTCTGTTAAATCTGTAGATAATTTTGGAAATAACTGACATCTTTATGATATTGGGTTTTTCAATCTCTGAACATGGTTGGCTCTTCACTTATTTCAGTCTTCTGTGGTTTCTTTCATCAGCATTTGTAGTGTTCAGCATTCAGATTATGTGCATGTTTTGTTAGATTTTTACCTATGTATTTCATTTGTAGGGCAAGCAATTGCAAATAGTATTGTTTTTAAATTTTTGTTTCCAATTGTATATTGCTGGTCTATAGAAATGTGACCAATTTTGTGTTAACTTTGTAACTTATGACCTTACTAAGCTCACTTATTAGAGGGTTATTTTTGTACATTATTTGGGATTATACATAATCATGTCATCTGAAAATAAGATAGTTTGATTTTTTTCTTTCTAATCTAATTCTTGCTTTTTTTTTTTTCTTTTTTCTTTTTTTCCTCCTCTGCCACCCAACACCTTTTGCATTGATTAGGACTTTCATCATGATGTTGGATAGGAGAGGAGATAGCAGATATTCTTGCCTGTTCTTAACCTTAGGGGAAAGCTTATTTATTTAGAAACGTTCCTCTTTTCTAAAATAGGTATTTAATGCTTTAAATTTCACTCTAATTTATCTGCATGCCACAAATTTTGATGTTATCTTTTCAAAAATTCAATTCAAAATATTTCCTCTTATTTTCTTGCTGATCTTGATTTTTATTTGATACCATTTTCCTTCATCCTGAAGTATTTCCTTTAGCATTTCTTGTAATGCAATTCTGCTGACAGCAAACTCCCTAGCATTCATTTACTGCAAGCATGTCAAACTCCCAGTCCGAGGGTCGCATGCGGCCCACAATGAATATTTTTGCGGCTGAGCCAATATAATGGTATGTAAAAAACGTTTTAATAAAAATTTTGTAACTTAATTTTTACAATATCCTGTTATACATAATTATTAATAACGAACTACAATGTTTACTAATGACTGATTACTATAATTGTGTTGCATTCATTTCCCTTATGCACAAGTGCACCATTTCTCTCCACTAATACTAGCAGAGAATATTTTAACAGCTAATTGCCACGTCATTAGTCTGGAGTGACTTGTTTGGTGTGCACAACTGGAAATATTTCACTTTCGTAGAATAAAAAAAATAGGTTTATTTGCATTACACTTATTAATTTGTGCAGTTATTCAGTGTCTGGTAAGTTAATGTTCAAGAAAAAAATTAATTTTTATTAAAATGTTCTATTTTATGTTAACAATGACTCACTTATTTCAACCCTTTGTATTCAGCATGTCTCTATCAAAATAAACCTACATTTCTATGGAAATTGAAGCTTTTAAACCTTATTTATTTGGCCTGTGTTAGCCTTTGAGTTTGATATGCTTGATTTACTGGAAAATGCCTATACTTCACCTTTTTTTTTTTTTTGAAGGATATTATCAATGGAAATAAAATTCTAGGTTATCATATTTTTTCTTTCATCAGTATGAAGTGTTGCTCCCATTGTCTCTTGGCCTACATAATTTCCTGTGAGAAGTTAGGTGGTTTTTTTTATTGTTCTTCTTTTTTAGAGTCTCCCTTTCCCCACTGGATTTTAAAAAATTTCCTCTTTATTTTTGGTTTTCTTCAGCTTGACTGTTCTGTTCTTACATGTGTTTGTCTTTTTCTTTTTTCTTCTTGGGATTTACTGAGCTTCTTGGATTTGTGTATTGGGGTATACCTCTATTCCACTGCACAGTGCTTCCTGGTATGCATCCCTCATATTGTGGTTCCCCATCCTGTCTTTGACAAACTCTTGGGATGCCTCCAGCTCCCCCTAAAAAATACAGTTACCATGAGCATTCTTCTACATGTCCCCTTAGCTGGGTATGATTTTATTTGGGATATTAGAACCCAGAGTAGAATTGCTGGCTTGCAAGGTTTACCTATACTAAACTTGACTGAGGATTGCCAGGTGTCCATATGATGATAGAATGATTCTCAAGTGAGGAAAGAATAATGGTAAGGAGAGCGGAAAGAGTGGGGAGAATTTCTAGGGCCTCATGCTTGAATAGGTGAGAAGGGACTATACCCACTGTGTAAGTGGAGGAATTAGCCAAGAACAGGGACAGTTCATCCCCAGAGAAGGAGGAAAAGTGGAGGTCTGGCCAGATGCAGGTAGATGGATCTGTGTTGTGGCTGAAAATTTTCTTCTATGGCTTCTATTTTCTTGGTGATATAGGAAGCAACCTGAGGAGCAGGATAGGGAGGAGGTATTGGCAGTTCAAAGAGAGGAAGGTATGAAATAGCTGTCTTGGAGACTGGGAGTGTGCATGACCAAGGCAAGAGAGCCCACTTGCTGGGCAGTCTGCAGGCTGCTCTTGGGTCAGTGAGAGTGGGCAGTGCTTCTGGGAGAGGTCGGGCATGGAGCAGTCCAGTACAGGGCTCTAAAGGCTCAGTTAGCAGAACTCCATGCCTGGCACTGTTCTGGGCTCTGTGGGCCCAGGCGGGCAGTGCCAAGGGGCTACTGATTACCACAGACCCATAATTCTGTGGGGTGCCTGGGCAGGCAGGGCTGGTGACAGCGTGGTGGGAAGGTCTGCAATTATGTGATCAGGTTGCTCAGCAGGTGTAGGTACTCAGTGCTTCTCTGTCTATAGCTCTATTTTGTATTATAAAAGTGATACATACCACACCAAGAAAATTTAGGAAAAGGTAAAAAAAAAAAAAAAAAGATGAATAAAAAAGTAGATCATCTGAAATCCATGCTCTCCCCATGCTGCCGAGAGGCAGCTACTATTAGTTAATATTTGGATGTCTTGTTATAAAAGAAAAGCTCTGTCCCTGCCCAATGGGCCTTTGAAATCTGACCTCATGTCAAAATGTGAGTAAGTCCCCCCACCAAATGTAGCCAAGCAGCAGTGTGGTAGGCTGAATGGGCCATGAGGGTCCTCTCCCCATTCCTGGCAGAAGTCAGGGAGGCCTGCATGGAGGGGGTGGCCATGAATTGGGTCTTGAAGGTTGAGGGTCCCTTGAGCCTGCCTTGCTGTCTTTATCCCTCCTGTCTCACCTTGTTCAGTGTCTTTCAAGGGCAGAGCTAGCTCCCAGCCCCTGTCCTACTGTGTGGCTAATAGGGTGGTCACGCTGCAGGTGAGACGAGTAGGGATGGCCCACTGTGTGTGAGGACAGGGAGGCAGAGTGGCCTGAGGGTGCTGTTCCACTATAGCCCCTCCCTTTGTGCAGGGTGAAGCCTGTGTATACACAATACTCATGCAAGGAGAGTCCCTCCACCTCCGACATCAGCCCCTGGACTGGCACCCTCTCCCTAGCAAGAAGGAGAAGGATGGTGGGGGTTTAACACGTTCCACCCTCCCGGGTCTGTGTGCCCCTCCAGATAGCAGCGACAGTGAGCTGGAGCTGTCCATGGTGCGCCACCAGCCAGAGGGGCTGGAGCAGCTGCAGGCACAGACCAAGTTCACCAAGATGGAGCTGCAGTCCCTCTATAGGGGCTTCAAGAATGTGAGTGATCCCCACCCCTCAGGAGAGGCCCTGACCCACCAAACCCCTTTACCTTTGCCTCCAGGAAGGGGAGTTCTGGCTCAGGCAGGCCTTCTAGAAACTTCCATGGAACAGCAAATATTCTGGGGCCTTGATGAGGCTCATGCTTTGTGGGAGACCAACCTGGGGAGTGTGTAGACCAAGCCCCTGAGTCAGTGTTCTGAAGGCCCCGGGCTTCTTTCTGTGTGTCTATGTGCTGGCACAGGGAAGGGTGTACGAGACCAGATTGGCCCAAGGGGACCAGCTCTCCCCCCACACACACACCTACCCCTCCTGCCTCACCCCCCAACCACCAGGCTCTCCTGGGGGCCCAGAGGGAGGAGTCAGGGTGCGGGGCTGAGGTGGCCGAGGCTGCTGAGGGTGACTTACTGCTGCAGGAGTGTCCCTCGGGCCTGGTGGATGAAGACACCTTCAAGCTCATTTACGCACAGTTCTTCCCTCAGGGAGGTGAGTCTGAGGCCAGACCCCTGCCCCCGCTTCTCCCAAAGCCCCCACTTTGTCCCTGGCAGTTCTGCAGAGGGCGGGTGTCCCTTTACGGGGAGGGGACCCTCACCTCCACCTCTGTGCTCCCCGCCACCACTTGCTTCCTGGAGGCCTGATGCTGCCTCTATCCCATTGGAAGGGGGTACCCCAGCTCAGGACACAGGTGGACCCCCAGTGGGGCTGCCTGACATGGGGGCTTGGCTGCCAGGAGGCCCCCCTCACCCCAGCCAGAGCCCTTGTCTCCTCCAGATGCCACCACCTATGCACACTTCCTCTTCAACGCCTTCGACGCGGACAGGAATGGGGCCATCTGCTTCGAGGTAGGTCTCTGCTGTTCCCTCCCATGTCCCCCATGGCAGGCCAGGCGTCCCTCTGCCCTGCTCCACACCCTCGGGCTCTCTAGGGGGTCAGGCCTGGTGTACATGGACCTGCGTGTGCCCTGGAGAACAGGTGGACTGTGTGTGGCTGGCCCGGCCTCCCTGTGAAGTCAGTAGAATTTGGTTTTGCTGTCTGGCCATCGTCTTCCCAGCCTTGTCTTCCAGCCCAGCCCAGTGAGCCCAGAGCCACTGGGGCACCCTGAGGTGGCAGTGACCCAGGGTGAGCTTCCAGAGGAGAAAGGGACGGGGTCCCACTGAGAGATCTGTGCCGGCAGCGGGCTGCAGGCCCAGCCCCAGAATTCCCCACTGTTGTCGGAAACAGACAGAGCACCTGGCCTGAGCAGGCTCCTGCCATCCCAGCCTGGTGTCTCCGCTGTCTGGAAGGAGAGCCTGCCCCCCGCAGTGTCCGCAGCATGGCCTCGCCTGGCCCTGTGGGCTGCCATGGGTCCCACCCAGGCCAGGCCACAAGATCATTTGAAGGAGGCATCTCGGTGGAGCCCAGACCCCTAAAAATAGCTGCAAGTGAAAAGCTGAAACCTCTTAGGGGAGGAAACCCATGCTGAGAGCCAGGTGTGATCGATAACCACTGGGCCAAGGGCGGTGACAGGAAAGCCTGCGGACCAGCCGAGGGTGTGTGTGTGTGTGTGTGATAATAAGATAGCACCTAACATTGCTGCATTCCTCTATGTGCCCGCCCACCCAGTGCTGCTGACACGGCCTGGGTGATCACAGGGTCTGTCCCCTCAGCCCACGCTCAGGGCTCCTGTGCGTGTGTGCATGTGCAGTGCTTCCAGCTTCCCTTCTCCATGAACCTGCACACAGTGCACACCCCATCAGCACAGGGGGAGACAGCAGGGAACACTCACTGTCCTTGGCCCCTCGCTGTGACCAGTTTTTGCAGATCCTTCTCGAGGCTCCTGAGACACCTGGGGAGGGGGTGTGGGAAGGTGCTGGTGTGAGGGACACACCAGGGCATTGTGGTGGTTCCTCTCGTTCTGAAATCAGAGGCTCAGACTGCTCAGCAGGGCCCCTCTGTGCCCAAGGGCCAGGAGGGGGCAGTGCCAAGAAGGCCGAGGTTCCTCTCTGGTGGCCATCCCCCTCAGGAGGGCTCTTTCGATACTATTAGAGTGGTGGGTCTTGGGGGCTGTGTCAGTGGCTCAGTTGAGGGTGCTGTGTGCTGAGGCCCCTCTGCCTAGCATCTCTCAGGCTGTCCCCTCCGGTGTCATCGGCCTTCGGTGTGCTTCTCTGCAGGTAAGGTAGCGCCTCTGCGTCCACATGGTGTGTGTTCTCCATGACGACCTTTCTCCTGATCCCGGGGTCTGCTTGGGGCGGCTCTTCCAGGAAGGGAGGAGGGCAGTGTCTCCCCAGGGACCGCCCACCGGCCAGGGGGTCCCGCAGGTTTGGGTGGCACTTGGCTCAGACTCAGCGTGTTCTGGAAATGGAAACTCAGGTCCGTTTACCGACATTTGCAGAGATGCCGATGCTTTTGTATGTTCTTGAGAGACAAGACCCATATTAATGAAAATGGATTGAAATGGGAAAATACTAAAACTTCCCTGCCCTCACCAAAGACTACCAGAAACTAGATGGGCAAGACCAGCAAACCTAGCATGGAGCGTGGTCCCACGTTCTCCCTCCTGGTCCCCTGGGCTGGGCCAGAGGCGGGAGCCTGAGGCCGGCCTCCCTTCCTGGGCTCAGACAGTGCTGCACGCAGATGCTGTCCAGGGCCTTGCTCATCCACCTCACTTGTCTGCAGGGCCCTGCTCCCTTGGAGAGTTCTGGCTGGTATGTGTCTCAGGGAAGCTGTGACTGCCTTTACCATCCCCTAACCTCCCCCCCTAAGTGACCCGCTCCTGGTGACTGACCACACAGGGTGTGTCCTGAGCAACCAAGGAGGCCTGCAACTTCAGTCACACCCTCGACCCCACCCCTGGCCGAGCTCCTGCCCAGTGCTCCACCCGGCACCCCTCGGGGCACGCTGGTGTCTTAGTTTGGAGGCCTCTCTGCGTCGCTGTGTGGCTTATAGGAGCCCCTCAGCCCGGGCTCTGCCGCAGGGACAGCCCCAGAGCGGGACTGTGGATGGGATAGGCTTCTTTTGTCTCGGATTTAAGGGCAAGAAGTCACAGAACTAGCCATGGCCCCGCCCACGGCTGTGCTGTGTGTGTTGGCGATTTAGACTGGGAAGCTGTGGGCTTGGGGCCACTGGTGTGTCACCGAGGATGGGCCGGTGGCTCACAGGGCAGAGAGTGCCACCACCTCTCCCCCAGTGCCATCGCTGCTGCACGACACTCACCGAGGGACACTGAACGGGACATTCCTCAGGGCGGTTGTCAGAACCCAGGGAGCCTGTCAGACCCCAGGGGAGAGAAAGGGGTGTGAACTCAGAGGCTTTGATTCTTCGCTGCTGAGGAAACCGCCAGCAAGAGTCAGCGGTGCCCTCGATTCCAAGGACTGTCCGCGGTTTTCCTAGACACACTTTCATCTTCTTCACCTAAACACACACATGAGGTCAAGAGTCCCGTAGATTACAGGTTACAGACGTTGGAAAACAGCAGCTAACACTCCACATGCCGAAGAGGCAGCATGCTCTGCCTGTTCCTGTTCTCACGGCAGCACAGGCGGCCTCCACTCCTCCTTCCTGACTGGCAAACTACGGGGAGTTTCTGAAAGAGGGCCCCCGGGTGTCCTCTGTCAGAGCAATGCATGTGGTCTAAGACACCATACGTTTGAATGGTTTTACTTGAGATGATCAGTATCAGCCACCATATCATCCCAAACACACACACACACACACACACACACACACACACACACACATTTACACATATGTACACAATGTCAACCTCATGGCCCCTGCCTGCTCTGTAAGGCAAGCCCCTCACTCTAGAGCTGTGACTCAGTGGAAGCCACACAGCGAACTGGAAACAGAATCTGGAGTCAGATGGTCACCCTGCACCCTCCCTCCCTCCCAGGACTTCGTGGTTGGCCTCTCCATCCTCCTGCGAGGTACAGTCCAGGAGAAGCTCAAGTGGGCCTTCAACCTCTACGACATTAACAAGGACGGCTACATCACCAAAGAGGTACGGGGACTGAGGCGTAGCCCTCTGCCCTCCTGCTCCCACGGCTGCTGTCCAGGCTGTCCTGCCTCCCCCCCCCCCCTCCAGAGACCAGGTGGGGGACAGCCGACAGGGGCTTCTCCTCTCCTGGGCTCTGTCCTGGGCCCCTGGCTGCAGGGAGCATGGGGCTGTGTGCCCCTCACTACACATCTGGGTTCAGTTCTGCAAGTGTCCTAGGACCATCCCTTCGGCCTGGGGAGACACAGGTGGAGAAGCTGAGGGTGGGGCTGGCCTTGGCTCCCACCAATCAAGGGGAAACGGGGGCGGGGGGGGGGGCTCACCACATGGGGCCACAGTTGGGTTCTTTTGGCCCAAACACTTTTTGTATACAAAATAGTGGCTACAGTCTCAAATGTTGGAGACAAAAAATCTACCTCTGACTTTTCTTGAAGAGCCAGAGCTTCACTGGGCAGAGCAGGGGGGCCTCCCAGCTGGCTCAGACCTGCCCTGGAGGGGATCGCCACCCATGGGTGCAGCCCTCCCCTCTGGCCCTTGCACCCTCCCCCATCCTTGCAGCTGGACTCATGCCAGCCCCTCTGCCCCTCCAGGAGATGCTGGCCATCATGAAGTCCATCTATGACATGATGGGCCGGCACACCTACCCCCTCCTGCGGGAGGACGCGCCCCTGGAGCACGTGGAGAGGTTCTTCCAGGTGAGCGCTCCAGCCAGTGTGCGGCCAGGAGAGGAAGGGGCTCCTGCTCAGGGCACCTGGGCGAGCCCCCCTGAGCCCACCCTCCCACAGGAGGGTGAATGGGCATGCCCGTTCAGCTGAACCTCGGCTCAGGGCCAGCTGGGCTTATAGATTCCAAGGTGGCTGACATCTTGGCATGTCCTGGTGCCTCCCAAGAGCTCCCGGCTCCTCCAGGGAAACTGTCTGCAAGAGGAATGGGGTTGGGTGACTTCTCTGTGTGTCCATGGGACACGTGGCCCTTTTGTGCCTTGGTTGCTCCATCTGTCCTACTTGAGTATCAGGGTGAATTCTGGGAATTGTAAGCCCAGGAGGCCGTCAGAAGCATCTGGGGCTGGAGGGCAGACTGGGGAGAGGTCAGCTGTGGGGTGCAAGGAGCTGAGGATCCAGTGTAGGGGGCAGAGGGTTAGGTTGGGGTGGAGGAGGTCCTTTCTCTGCCATGTCCTCAGGCCTGGGACAGGGACTGTACCTGGTGAGACACAGGCTCATCGAGGGTGTGGCTTCGGTTGCAGAAAATGGACCGGAATCAGGACGGGGTAGTGACCATTGATGAGTTCCTGGAGACCTGTCAGAAGGTAGGTGTCCTCAGGAGATCACTTAGTGTCCTACCCCGTCCAGTCCTCAGGCCACTCCCCACCCCAAGCTCCCTTTCACTCTTTCATCTGAACCCCTCCCCCGGCTCCTTCCAGCCACAGCCCACTTGGGCACGCCATAGCTCAGCCCTGCCCTTGCGTGCTTTGAATTAGAGGGGGCAGATGTGGGGCCAACAGGGGGTGATGAGGCAGTGTGGCCCTTGGGCAGGGTCATGCTGGGGGCCAGGCACCTGGAGCCTCCCAATTTTGCTGTCTCTTCTCTGCAGAGCACCCTTGGGGTCGGGGAGGCAGGGCGTCAGACCTCTGCCACTTGCCTCGCTCCCAGTGACCTGTCCATGGCCCTTGGCCTCCGCTGGGTGAGCAACCAGGGAGGTTTGGCCTTCAGTGAGTTAGCCAATCCCAGATGGGCTGCAGTCAGGCCTTGGGGCTGAAGACAGGCTGGGCCTGACCAGCTCCTCCCGGCCCAGGGACACAGACAGAGTGGTCCCTGCAGAGGCTGGTCCCTGACCAGAATCTGCTCAAGGTGACCAGAGGTGGGCACCGCCTGCCCTGTCCACCTGGGTTCGACCAGGTCTCTCGTCCCCTCTCCACGCAGGACGAGAACATCATGAACTCCATGCAGCTGTTCGAGAACGTCATCTAGGACACACGGAGGATCCTCAATGGCCATCGTCACCACCTCAATCCTGCCAGGAACAGCCTCCATGAGAAATGTTTTTCTAATATATTTGCAAAAAGTGAACAGTTTGCCACACACCACACACACACACACACACACACACACACACACACGTGTGTGCACCATTCCTCTGGGCTAGGTGGGGGAGGGGTGCTGCTTCTGGTTGGGAGCTGGGTCCAGGAGATTTGAGCTACCCCCCAGCCAGCCCACCCCAGGCCAGCAGAGTGAGGCTGCCTACGCAGTGGGCAGAGAGGAGAGCAGTGTCTGCAGCCATTGGCTGCTGGGTGTACGCAGGCTCGTCTCCAGAGTGAAGGCCCCTCGCTCCTGCTTCCCTTCTTTGCCTCCACCATGGGCCAGACTCTGGTCTTCTTGTCTCCCAGCCATTCCCAGCCCACTGACCACACTCCCACAATGCACCTCACCACAGAACCCTGAGGGACAGCCAGGGTAAAGGTGTTCGGACTAGGAAAGAAGCAATGGAGGCAGAGCCTGCTGCTTCCTGGAAAGGTTTCCTGGCGAGCTCTGTCGCGAGGATGAGGGGCCATCCCTGCTGTCCCTCCATCATAGAAAGGGGCCCCTTTAAGCTCAGGGTTGGGTTTCCCGGGGAAGAATGCGAGGAGACTGCGGACCCCACGAGATGGGAGAAGCCCTCTACTTGCCCAGGCCTGGCTCAGTGGGGACAGTGGTGGTGCTGCCCCCACCTCTCAGGCTCTAAACTGTTCGCCCCAAGTCACCGCAGGTTCCAAGAAGAGGCCATGTGGCTCAGGGACTGGCCGCCCAGGAGCCTGGGTGGCCATCCAGCCCAGGAAGGGCTTCTCGGTCCCTTGTCCCTCAGCCTCCATCTCCCTTGGCCCAGCAGTTTGGTTGAGCTCCCCTCCAGTTGGGGTCCTGAAGCAGTGTTGGCAACCTCCACAGGGGCTCACCCCAACCCCTTACAAAAAGCACAAGCAGCCCCAGAGCTCAGGGGGAGCCCACGAGGAGCTGAAGACACTGCTTTTCCGAGACGAGGCCCTCCCGGTGGGCTGAGCCTGGCTCAGGGAGGTGGCCCGCAGGTGGCCCAGGGAAGGAAGTGGGGGTCTGTTCTGTGACTCAGATGGGGCTCAAGCCCGTCCTCAGCCCAGCTCACCAACATTCAAAAGCACAAACCCCGGACTTAGCTTGGCTGGGTTCTGCTCTGGGGTGGTGCCAGTGTCCACCTGAGGCCAGAGACAGCAGCGAGAGCTGGGGCCTGAGGTCGGTGGGAGGCCCACAGGGGCCTCCAGGACACACAGAGGGGTGACTGCTTCTGCCTGGCCAGGCAGCAGGGACTTCCGAGGCACATTCCCAAACATACATTCCATCGGCTGCCATCCCGCCTCTGCTCGGCCTGGCCCAGGGTGAGCAGGGCCTTTAAGAGAGGGTGGGATGGCGGAGGTCATGGAGACTGGTCTGGTTCGGGCATGGGGACTCCTGGGCACCACAGGTGGTCCTCCCCTTGGAGTTGCACTGACACCCATCTCCAGTCTGACTGGGGGTCCCTCTCTTCCTCCAGGAGGCATCAGCTTTCCCTGGCTCAGGGATCTTTCACCCCAACCCCTGACCTGCCCCCAGCCCAGCCCCCCAGCTGGTGTAGCTCTGCTTCTCAGGGACCAGGTCGTCAGAGAGGGTCACACCATCCCTCTGCCCCCCTTGGCCTCAGCCAGACTGGCTGCCAGGAGAGGCGTCTCCCATGCTGGGATGAGGACTGGCCGCATGTCTGCATGGCAGAAGCGTCTCCCCTGGGCACACCTGGGAGGGTGGCACCTGTTCTCAGCGCCCACCAACATCAGTCCTGTATATTTTAATAAAATAAACTTGACAAAGGAGTGGGACTCACCTTGACTTATCCTGTGAGTTTTGGTCCAGCCCCTCACACCTCTGCTCTCTTATCTGGCTCCTGCCCAGTGCTATGCTGGTGAGTGTTTAACAGGCCCCGAATGGTAGCCAGTTTCCATGCTGGATTTCAAACTCCCGATGTGATGTCCCTGAAGGCCAGTTGGGAGCTTTTATGAGAAATGCCAGCCTGCAGCTCCCACACAGAGCCAGCGGGCAGGGTACCTTCTGGTGGTGCCATTTATGTCTTGTCCCCAGATCACTTTTTTCTACCAGTTCCAGGATGTCATTTCTGCATGTCCCCTGGGCTGCAGGGCACAGGACACAGAGCAGAAACAGAATTTGCCTGAAATATGTCTCCCTTTCCTGCTTTTTATTTTCAAAAGTGTAAACTCAGGAAGGATTACGCCAGGGGAAGGGCAGTAAACGAAAACCTGGGGAAAGAGAGAAAGGGGGTCCCTAACTTGGAGATAGAGAAGAAGTGGGTTCTGGGGGTATTGGTAGTATTTCAAGGGCCAGACCCAAGGCCATGTGACATCGTCACAGTGACGAGACCAGGCCTCTCTGGGCCACCAGCTTTGCCTGATGAGCGTCTCAACAGGAGCTAGGAGGGCAGATGAGAGGACCCATACCACCACACACCCCAAAAGTTCCACCCCGCCTGAAACCGAGGGCCTTGGCACACTCCTGGCAAGGGAACTGCCTGGCTGCTGTTGGGGATGGGATGGCCTGCATTTGCCATTGGCTGGCCACTATGTGGAGCCCATTCACCCTGGTCACAGCCTGAGGGGAGGATGGGAAGCCGAGCTGAAGGTGTTAAGACCTCTCAGCCATTAAAGAATAGAGTCAGGACGGTGGCTCCAAGCTGGGTGTAAGCACTGAAATATCTCATTCACGATGGGCCAGAGAGCTCAAAATAGGGAAAGCCCATCCACCATCCATCTATCCACCATCTACCTACCATCCTCCCACCATCCATCCTCCATCCACCCTTCATCCATCATCCATCCACCATCCATCTACCCACCACCATCCTTCCATCCACCGTCTACCTACTATCCACCCACCATCCCTCCATCATTCATCCATTATCCATCCATTATCCATCTGCCAACCATCCATCATCCATCCATCCATCCATCCATCATCCATCCATTTACCATCCACCATCCATCTATCCACCATCCATCCATTCACCCTCCATCCATCCATCAATTTGTACAACTACTCAGCACTTTTCTGTTCCTGACACTTGGTGCAGAGGGGATGGCTGGCTGTGTCCTCTGTGTGGCTATAATGGCAGTGAGGAATCTAGAAGGACCCCTGAGAAATCAGTCATAGAGAAAATTAAAAGGGGAAAATGATAAGACTTTGTCAACTATAAACAAAGAAGTAAAAATCAAAACAGTCATCATTTCAATAATGTACATATATGTGATATATGTAACATATTGCATATTTTGTTTTATCCCATAAATGCAAAGTTTAACATTAAAATAAAAGGAAATGGGCTCTTGGCCTAGCCAATTTTGCTTGGTGTTGAGAGCATCAGCCCATGGACTGAGGGTCTAAGGTTCAATTCCGGTCTAGGGCATGTCAGCCCCAGTTGGGGCTTATGAAGGAGGCAACTAGTTGATGCATCTTTCTCACACTCATTTTTTTCTCTCCCTGTCTCTCCCCCTCCCTTTCAATTTCTTTAAAAATCAATGGAAAAAATGGGTGAGGATGAAAAAAATGCAGGCTCATTAGTTTCCAATAATATGGAGTATGCAAAAATCTAGATTCTAGATTACTCTTTCCTCTGAAAACAACACAAATCCTGGTTTCACCTGGGTCAGCGACAATCACATGGACTGTCTGAACCAGCTGGTCGTAAAGGGAATGTGCAGGGGCCAGCTGCCTGCAGCGTGAGCTCAGCCAGGTTCTGAGATTGGGGCGGAGAGTGGGATATAGGTGGGGCCCAAACTGCCCAGGGAGGTGACTATGGCCGTCCCAGAGCCCGCGCGTTCAGCAGTTTTCCTGTGCCTACATAAGGCTAAGACGAGAGCTCTGGAAAAAATTCTACCATCTCACTCAGACCCTGCCCACTTACATGGGGAAATTGCATAAATCTCCAAGAGAAGATAAAGGCCAATTAGACCTTGTCCAGAGCTGAGATGTCCTTTTATGGGAGTGGGCCTGACAGGAGGCCTGGGCTGGGCCTGGAATATACTCAGGTTCAGTCTGAGCAGGCACTACATGCAGCCCTCTCTTGGGTGGTGGCGGAGGCCATGCAATCCACAAACTGCGCCCCCCCCCCCCCATCCCCCGGCTCCGCTGACTGCCCAGGGCCATCAGTGCTAGGACTGGGCTCCCTGATGTCTGCTGGGTGCCTTTAGGTTCTGTCTGTTCTTGACCAGGAATCCCCAGCATCCTCTAACTCACCCTACCCTGCCCATCTTCGCTCTCACATCGGGACTCCAGCCCAGGGCCCCTCAGCTCAGCTCTCTGGGCTGGCTTTGAAAATTACCGAACTGTCCTTTGGATGCAGAATCTATGTCTACCCCACCCCTCTGCCCGAGATGGCCCGTCCATTACCTGGCAGTAAAGACCTCAGCAGCGTCTCTCTCATGCAGTCTCGTGTGTGTGCTGAGGAAGGTCAGCTGATGGAACACCAGCCTGTTGCCTCTCTAGCACTCCCCTCCTCTGGCAGTAGCCCCCAGTCTCCCTGGGGATCCCTCCCTCTCTCCAAGGCCAGCCCTCAGCCCGTGGGTGCGTGTCTTCCCTGCTCAGAGTGGTTGGTTGAGGGTGGGCACCTGGAGCCTAGAGGGCCAAGGGAAACCCAAGCTGGGAATGCTGGGAAAGGCTTTGCTCCTCACCTTCTGAAGCTTCCAGGGCCTGAGTCCTGGGGTCGGGGCTACTATTTAGTAACTGGAGGAGCCAGGGAATGAAGCCAGAGCAGAAGACGGGTAAGCTGGCTGGCTGAGGGATGGAGACAGAGAAAGCAAGGGGGAGGGGGCAGGGTTCAGCCCTTGAACTCAAAATCAAACTGTACCTTAGCAAGCCCCACCTAATCTCAGATTTGTCACCGTGTGAGCTGCTCATAGGTTGCCCACCTGCAACACCCCGTCCCAAGCTCGCTTAACCTTTCTCATCTGCTACAGCCCTTAATGTCAAGCTCAGCCATGGGACGGAATGTGCTTTCCAGACGTCAGTGAGCCCTGAGGGAAGGGGGTCAGGACAACATGCCTAGCCTATCTCCCTGCCAGACTGTGGGTTCTTGCCAGCAGGAGCCTGGTGTTCACCTGTGAGGGCCCCAGGAGGGCCCTGCAGCGAAACATGGGGAGGGAGTGGCCAGTGTGCTGCTGCACCGGAGGATACAGGGAAGGAGCCACTGCCGCGGAGCAGACAGCCCCAGGGGCCAGCTCGGAAGGCACCAGTATCAACGTTTGTTTGAAACACCTCCGGAGCACCCACTCCTACCCCACCCAGCCCAGCTCTCTTCCACCCACTTTCCTGTCCTGAGCAATTGTGGCTGACTCCCATTCCTTAGAGTTTCACTAACAAAACCAGGCAGTGCTGTCCCTGTTTTGAAAAATTACCAAATACAGGAAGACATCCAGGAACTAAAAGTAAGGCCCTGAAGAGCAGGCCATCAGTCAGTCCCTGACTGCCACAGCCAGCTAGCGGCCCGCCAAGTAAGACTGCGAACCTCGCCAGGCTCCCTTGCACTGGCTCTCAGAGTGGAGAACGCATTTCTCCGTTTTGTTTCTCCAGGTGGAGCAGGCTGTGCTCTTCCAGCTCTGCCGTGGTCACATTTCTGGGCACAGTCCCCAGGCCCTGGAGTCTACAGTGCCATCTTTTTGTACATTCGCATGTTTGTGGCCCAAAAAGCAACCCTGTGCTTCTAAAAGGCATGGAGAACAGAATGGATGCTTCTCCTCTCTTCCTTTGTGTTGGTAACTTCGGCTCCAGCCAGCAGGTTAGTACAAATTAACCTGTTTGCAAATTCACTCATCTTTTCTTCAGCAGACATCAACCCATCTAGTGCACTTTTCATCTCAGATATTGTAGTTTCCGTCAATGGACGTTTGCTTTGGATCCCTTTAAAAACTATCTTCCATGTTTCTAATGAACTTTGAATAGATGGAATACAGTTGTAGTAACTGTTATAATATTCTTGTCTGTTCATTCTAACATCTGTCAGTTCTGAGTTCCATTAAAATGCTAGATTCTTCTTGCTATGAGCCACGTTTTCCTGCTTCTTTCCAAGCCTGGGCTATCTTTGATTAGATATCAGAACCTGTAATTTTGACCTTGTTGATTGCTGGATATGTTTTATTTCTGTAAACATTATTGAGCTTGGCCTGTGATGTGATTAAGCTACTTGCAGTGTTTGATCTGGTGGACCTTGGTTTTATGACTTGTGGGGCATTACTCCCCACCTCCCTATGGAGGCTGGACACTCATGAGTCCTCTACCCTGTGTCCAGAGATTTCTGAGTTTTCCAATCTGACAGTGGGAAGAGGCACTGCTCCTGACGTCCTGATTCAGTGAGCCCTGATTCTTGACACTATTCCCTCTGATTCTTCTTGATGAGTCTTGCCCTCTCTCAGGTAGTTGCCTCGCGGACATGCACTGCTCAGGACCTGCTGCACACTTGAGGGGGCACCTCTTCAGAATGCAGGGCTCTTCTCTCCAGTACTTTGTTCTGCAGACTCTGGCTTCCTTGGTCTTACCGGGCCTCAGCCCCATTTTTGCAACTCATTGGGTATGCAGGCTCCCCTTTGGTCCACCCTCCTTCTGCACAGCCTGGAAACTCTCTCAAAGCATTAAGCCGGGGCAGCCATAGGCCTCATTTGTTTCCTGTCTGATATCACTGTTCTTCATTATTTGATGTCCAATTTCTTGAAAACCATTGTTTTGTGTATTTTGTCTGAGTTTCTTGTTTCATGCAGGGTAAATCCTGTCCCTCTTACTCCACCTTGTTCAGAAGCAGAATTCCTCCTCTCCTTGCCATTTGGAAGGCGTAGCTCCCTACTCTGCCTAAGTTATGTGTTTCCCTGCCTCCCTGTACCCTGCAGTTTTTCTGATTGCTCCTCTGCTGCTGCCCACCCTTACAGGGTGGGTCTCCTGCTAGGGTTTATGCCAGGCTCTTTATGACAGTCGCCCCGTTCACTCTCACTCCCACAGTCTTCATTTCTATCTCTATGCTGACCTCTTTCTATCTTGAAGCCAGACTAGAGCTGCAAGCTGCAACTGCCCACTCTGCAGTACCCACTTGAATGCCCCACAGGCACATTAAATACAACCCATCCAAAACCCAGCTCACCATCCTCCCTCAGAGCTACTGTCTCTCCAGAACTTGTTTCCACAAATAGCACTGTCATCACCAGGCCAGAGACCTAGGAGGCAGCCTTGCACCTCCTTCCGGCTCACTCCCAACTCCAGTCATCACTAAGGACTGTCAGTTCTACCTCCTGAACATCTCTGACCTCTAATCATCTCGGCTGCACACCAACCACCACTGCTCTCAGCCGTGCCACCCACTCAGACACCTTTCCTTGGAGGATGACCAGTGTAAAACTACTCAAATGTACCTCTAACCATGGCATCCCCTGTAGAACCTGCCTGTGGCCTCCTGTGTGCTAGATAAGACTCCAGACGCCTTCTTGGGACAACTGAAGCCCTTGATTATCTGGCCCTTGATTAAATCTTGGACCTCTTGCCCAGAACCCCCTTTCCAGTATAGGTTCTCATTTGCCAGAGGCCTGGAGAGCTGGGTTGTCCTTGTCTGGCTAATTAAACCACCTCTTCAGGAGAATGCCTGTCCTCTGACGCTGGAGATTTTGCCTCCCACTACCCTGTCCTGAGCCCAACACAGAGCATGTGAAGACAGGGCTGCTGTGGGTGGGTGTAAGAGGCTGGACAGTGTCAGCTTGCACAAAGCACTTCGAGCCTCAGGTGCCCCATATGTAAAATGGGTGCAATCATCCCTCCTCTCCTCAATAATATACCAGAGATTTGCCTTTGTCAACCAGCGCGCTATAATTTGGTTTCTTCTACCGCATTTGCCCAGTGATGGAAATGGTGTCCTGCTCAAAGGCAGGGACCCGACACGGGGGAGCGCGGCGTCCAGTCCAGGGCACAAAACGTCAGGAAGATTAGCTCTCGCTGTGACAGAATGGGGCCTTCCTGCAGGATAGCCCGGGTACCACCCAGAGGCCTGCAGGCTCCAGCGGGGCCCGCCCTCCAGCGTGGCCCCGCCCTCAGCGTTGGGCCCGCCCTCAGCACGTGACTTCCGGGACAGAACGCAGCGCCCTGCTACTGGCAGTCGTGCTGGACGTCACCCGGAGCGCCGCCTCTGCCCACGTCTAATCCGAGAAGCCAAGGACGCGCTGCTGCGGAGGTCTCCCTGCGGGTCCTAGTCTCTCGGCGCCCGCCAACCCCAGCCCCAGCCCCGCGACCTGGTCCGATAGCGCAGGGCGCGCTCCCGACACCCGCCGCGGCCAGGTAGGTCGGGTTCGGGCCGGCGTGGGGGCTTCCCCCGCGCGAGGCCGGGACTGGACCTCGGGTCGCCACTCAGATCGCACCGCCGGGCGCTCGTGAGCGTCCACTGAATGCAGGGGACCTAGCCGAGCACGTAGGGAAACCGAGGGGCTGGCCGGGCGCGATGCGTGGGGACTGACGGTGGGACGCTGTCCCAGGTGCACACTTGTGTGCCGTTTCCCCCTCACGTCGCTGCATCCTTTGCCTGGGTTGGAAGAGCTCAGGCTTTGCTGCAGAGATGGAACGAACAGCTGATGCACCAGGGCCACGTTCTGAAGGTGAAGGCTCATCTGAAGGCCTCAGGGCCCCTTTCTGTAAAACGGGGCGCACTGTCTGAGGGGATTGTGGTAGGACCAGCGAGAACCTGCATGTGCAGTTCCCGTGGGAAGGGCACAGTCAGTGTGGGGTGGGGGTTATCTTGGAGAGCAGGTGAGCAGCCAGCCTTATTCCAGAGGCGGCAGGCAGCCAGCAGGTTCCCCTGAGCGTGGCTGAGAGAGGCAGAGTGTCTGGGCATGAGGATCTTTTGGAGGACCCTGCTTCTCACCACAGTTTTATGGGCTATAAAGTGCCCTAGGCGGGGTGGGCTAAAGCTACATTATGTTGTGTGTACACCACCTGGTTTCTGAACCAAAAACTTCAATGTCACCTGGACATGGATTGAAGCCCCAGCTCTTTCCCCTCCTTGGGAACATGGGTAATCCCTTAACCTCTCTAACTCTTATTTACATCTGTAAAATGGACTAACAATACCTATAATACCTGCCACGATTTTGAAAGTGAATCAGACATTGTGGATAAAGCCCTTAAATGAGACCTGGCATTCATTGGGAGTGATTACTGTTGTATTTTAGCGGGTGGAGTGTCTGAGCACTTTGGCTAGACCAACCTTTATCGGTGGCAGATGGGTCTTACGGTATATAAGACAGGAGGGCAGGAGGCTTGAAGCTCCATTTTTCTGGTCAGACTCATTGGCCAGCACAGTAGTTAGATCAGTTACCTGGGTTTATGTGTCTCTAACTGAACAAGGCCGATTTAATCTTTAGATGAGGACCAGGAGTCTGGGACTAACCTCCACATGCCTGAGCAGAAAGGGCCGAATTTACAAGCAAGGAGCCAGGTAGGGGAGGGACTGTTCGGAGGTCAGACTTAGATTAGAAATAGAACAAAAGGGATTTCTCTTTGAGTGAACTGGAACTTGAAACAGGGTTTGAGCGTGATTTGAAGAAGGAGGGCACAGCCATGCCTCCTGAGGTCGACAATCACCAAGCTTTCCCTCGTAGTGAAAAGTCAGCCCCTGCTTCAGGCATTTGTTCGTTCAACGGAGAATAGCTGAGAGCCTCCGCGTGCCAGGCACAGTGGACAGGCGGTAACCTTGTTTCACCCACAGGCATGTTATTCCCCGTGAGAGAGGGGAGGCCCCAGAGCCGAGAGGAGACAGCCTGGTGAGCTCCGCAGCCTTTCCCCTTAGGCAGCCTGGGCTCCAGCAGGAAAAACGAAGCATTTACTGTCTGGAGAGGCAGGTGGGGGCAGCTCCTGGAAGGCTGGAGCAGGGGGATTGTGGCTTGGTAATGGGAGCAGCGGGGAGCATTTTAAGTGGGAGGGTAACAATCAAATTGTCATTTAAAGAATTGCTTATGGCAGGTGTGAAGTCATTTTTCCCAGCGGTCATTTGCTTATGGTGAGCCCCACTCTTATCTAATTCCTAGTCCTGCTCATCTTAGCCCAGCCCAGCCCAGCATCACTTCCTAAGAAACTAGACAAAGCCCTGCCCCAGGCAATCAGACCAGCTGGGAGCTCTTCTGCAAGGGAGCAGGGTAGCCCCAGCTTTCCTTTCTCACCCGTTTTACTGAAGAACCTTAGAAATCTTATATGACAGCAGCTTCCATTTATAAAGGGGTGATTATCCAAGGTCACAAAACCTCTTCACACTGCCTTGGTCACACTTGCAGGACCCTTGATTGTCACAGCAGGAGTCCCATTGCTGAATCCTATCCATTGTTAACATCCCTTTTCCTGTGAGCAGAATGGCAGGGCTGAGTATGTCTGACTAGACGGGTTTGCCTTAGTGGTGCAGGTACAGTGCACGCTTTCAGAAAGCACTGGTTGAAGGGAGGCTGCATTCCCTGGCACCTAGCTCAGGGCCTCACGTGAAGTAGTTGCTCCTCTAGAAAGGTTTCATTATGTGCATTGAATTGAGCAAAACCCACCTTATGAAGCACAGAGGGTGAAATAACTTACAAATCCAGACCGCTTCCGTGTGGTGTGCCAGAACTTGGGGGCTGGAACTCGAGGGACATTGGGATCCTGACGATGGCTCCCAGCCCTCTCTGTACCCTGTGACCCACTGTTTTCTCCATAGACTGATGCTGCTCTCTGCTAGAAGAAGGCTGCTCACCGCTCTGCTGCAGGCTCAGTGCTGGCCCTTTCAACCCTCCAGAGACATGAGACTGGTGCAGTTCCAGGCCCCCCACCTGACCGGACCTCACCTGGGCCTGGAGTCAGGGAATGGCGGAGGGGTCATCAACCTCAATGCCTTTGACCCCACACTGCCCAAGACCATGGTAGAGTTCCTGGAGCAGGGAGAGTCCACTCTCTCAGTGGCGAGAAGGTAAATCAGCAGGCAGTATCACCCTGTGTTGGTTGCCCTGGGAAACAGAACCAGCAGGTAGCTCTTTTGCAGGGAAGCAGGGTAGCCTGAGCTTTCCTTTCTCACCTGTTCTTTTAGTAAATAAAGATTCTTAGAAGTCTTATCTGACAGCAGCCGCAGTGTTTAGTGGGGCCCAGGAAGGGTGATTATCCAAAGACCACCAACTCCACTTCATCACAATTCCCTGGGGGTGAAGTTGCTGCCTGCCCGGGAGGTGTGGGACCCAGGATCCTGAGTAGCGTCTTGAGAAGTTGGAGGAGTGATTGGACTCTTGGCTGCTTAGGGAAAAGAGAATTGCTGGAGGTTTTCTTGGGCTTGGGCTAGATTAGATGGTGATTTCCCTGAAGCGGAGGAGCCCTGTGGCATTTGGTCTAAAGCTATTGGTGAACAGTAACGACCACTTTGAGATGTTGTTTTACCTATTAAACTGGTGAAAATACAAATGTTGGACAATACACAGTGTTGGTAAAAGTATGTTTCCCAAAATTCATCTTCTCCCAAGATTGGAACCTATTTCATATCCATCAGTAGGGGACTGAGTGTGTCTCTGTAGTGCAGTAGTATGTAGCCATAATAAACTGTTATGGTGAGATCTTTAAAATGTATATTTTAGTAAGGTGTATAAAGAGTGCTATCATTAGTATAAAATGACAAGAGGAGAATAATAGAATAGCTGTGAAGAGCTGCATAGGACACTGTATATCTCCAAGGCTACAGCGGGGTGAAGAGGAGAAAGGGTAGAAGAAAGACCTTCCCAGTTACTCCCATCTGCACCTTCTGAATTCCTTTACGTGGACATGTATTGCCTGATGGGGGGAAGGAAATCCACATTGGATAAATATTAAACCATGCTCTGATGTCAAAGACAGTAGCTGGCCTTGATTTTCACACTGACTCTGATGGTTGATAGATCTAAAAAATATAGACAGCAAAACCTGCAGCTGAGGAAGGTTCTCCCCAGCATGCCCAGGACTGCCAGCCTGCTCCCATCCAGCCCCTCTCTCCTGCTCTGGTCTCTGCAGAGCCCTGGCTGCCCAACTGCCAGTCTTACCACGGTCAGAGGTGGCCTTCCTGGCTCCAGTCACACGGCCAGACAAGGTGGTGTGTGTGGGCATGAATTACGCGGACCACTGCAAGGAACAGAACGTGCCTGTGCCCAAGGAGCCCATCATCTTCAGCAAGTTTGGCAGCTCCATCGTGGGGCCCTACGATGAGGTCATCCTCCCACCTGAGAGCCAGGTGGGTGCCTCCCCATGGCCCTCTCAAGTCACTGGGGCCCATCACAGAGGCGCAGGAGCCACCAATAGTGCATTAAACAGAAACTATAGAGATTATAGAGTAATAAGACTGGCTTCATGAAAAAAATTAATAGAAGAGAACTTGGTTATTTCTATTTGGATTACAAAAGTAATATACTTTCATCATAGGCACTTATAAAATTTAGCATGCACCTTCTAAGAATAAGGACAATGTCCTATGTAACCATAATACCTGTATCACAACCAAGAATATTGTCATGAATAACCTCTGATACGAAGTACAACTGGGAGGTGACTTTCAATTTGGGTACTGCTTTGTTTGCTGACACAGGATCAAACAAGGTCACACACTGCGTTTGGTTATGTCTCTTTGGGACCTGCAATCTACAGCTCCACAGGAATCCATGGGCTTTTTCTCCAAGGGCCAGTTAGTAAATATTGGAGTTTGAAGCCAGTAGTGTCTGTTGCAATAGTTCAACTTTGCCACTGCGGTGTGAACACAGTCACAGCTGATACATAAATGAATGAACGTGGCTGTGTTCCAGGAAAGCTTTATCTACAGAAACAGTCAGCAACCTTGGTTTACCCACAGGCCATGCTTTGCTGACCTCTTTCTCTGCCCAACAGCCTACTGCTGTTTTCTTTTTCTTTTTCTTTTTTTCATATGTTTTTATTGATTTCAGAGAGGAAGGGAGGGGAGAGATAGGAAATCAATGATGACTCATTGATCAGCTGCCTCATATACATCCATTGGGGATTGAGCCTGCCACCTGGGCATCAACCGGGATTTCTTGGTTCATAGGTGAACGCTCAACCACTGAGCCACCTTGGCCGAGCCCATTTTCTATCTGTTGTGACACAAGTTGTCTCACCATGTCCTATGGCTGGACTTATCTGATTGTGTCTTCACGATCATATCTAGGTTAAATATTTTTGTCAAGAGTTCTACACAAACGTCTCAGTCCATTTGGGCTCCATAACAAAATATACTGGGTGGCTTATAAACAACAGACATTTATTTTTACAGCTCTGGAGACTGAAGTGCAAGATCAAGGCACTGATAAATTTGGTGTCTGGGAGGCCAATTCCTGGTTCCTAGATGTCTTTTCCTGTGCTCTCACATGTAAAAAAAGACAGGGAGCTCTCTGGGGGCTCTTATAAAGGCATAATCCTCATTGGGGCTCTGCCCTCATGGACAATCACCTTCCAAAGACCACACCTCCGAATACCATCACATTGAGGGGTAGGTGTCAAAACATGAATTTGGAGGGACACAAACATGCAGTGTATATCACAGATGTTGTGTCCTCACACTGCGTCCCACTGGGAGACTCCTGTCAGATGCTTAAAGTCTGATCACTTGGTTTACTGGCTGTTCATTAGGCCTCTCCATTGTGAAGGTGCATTTCTGTGGTATTCAGCAATCTAGTTGTTTGAGACCAGGGACTATCTTATTGCCCCACTGTTTTCATCTAAAGATTCCCTGGTCATCCTTACCTTACTCTAATGTACTGGGGGTTAAAATGGGATTTTTTCCACCGTGCCTTCTATTCTTTATTAGCTGGCATTCTGTGAACAAGGTGCCTCCTTTTTTTTTCTTCTTTTTTTAAAAACTCCATTCCTTTAGTATTATAAATTTCTGATTTTTATTTTTATCCAGCATTTTGTAATCCATCACTTACAGTCCTTTTTACATGCAAATGATCTGTTTGGCCAGTGGGGGGTTCAAGTTGGCCTGCAGCCCCATCACTTTTTGAGCACTTGCTTGCTTTCTAAGATAGCACGGGCTCATTAGTATATTAGACCTGGAATTAGCCATTTCCCCAAGGAACCTGGTTCTTCTAGTGGGGTGCGATGCTAGAGATCAAAGTCAGTGTCAGGTATACTCATAGGAGCTCTGGACCATTCAAAAGAGCAGCCAGTTTAAAACATTAGATTGTTTTTTTTTTAATAGCACTTGGCTAAAATTGGAAAGGCTGATTGATTTCATTTTCTGTGGCCTGTGTATTTTTGGTAATTGTTTATTCAAGCTTTTTGCCCACCTTTATTTTGGCTTGTTCATCTTTTTATTTAAATGAGTTAATGCATTAATGCACTAGAATGGTGCCTGGCACACAGTAGGATTAGCTATTATTACTTGGTATCCATCCTTTTTTGGAAGTATTAAGAATGACTTTTTAAAAATATATGTATTTTTATTGATTTCAGAGAAGGGAGAGGGAAAGAGAAACATCAATGATGAGAGATAATCATTGATTGGAGCCTCCTGCACTACTCCTACTGGGATCAAGCCCACAATCCAGGCATCTGGCCTGACCAGGAATCAACCACTGAGCCACACCAGCCAGGCAAGAATGACTTATAAATCCAATCCCCAGACCAGTGTTGCTCTTCTAGTCACCATGGGAACTGTACCTGTATTAGTGGTGCTGCCTGCTGTTGCCCAATGTTTATGGGTGTACAAATCACACCCCCTATCACTCTGGTTCATTTTATGACTGTGGGCCAGCAGCTGACCGCACTGGTGGGGGCCCAGATCCCAAGATATGCGTGCAGCCCCTCAGCACTGAGAGAGGCCCAGAGCCAAGTGGTTTATGCTCCTTTCCCACTGCAGGAGGTGGACTGGGAAGTGGAGCTGGCCGTGGTCATTGGGAAGAAAGGCAAGCACATCAAGGTGAGGTTGAGTGGGTGGTACCCACTATCCTGGCCTTAGGAAGTGGTCGGCTTGGGCACCTGCCTTGTTCCTTGCCTAACACTTTTGGTGAGCTCTGGCTACTAGCGTGGGATAAAGGTTTTGTTATGGGGGCTAGTGTCACTGTTACCTAATCTCTAATCTGGCCAAATCCCCTGCCCCCATAGGCCACAGATGCCATGGCTTATGTGGCTGGCTTCACTGTGGCACATGACGTAAGTGCTCGTGATTGGCAAATGAAACGCAATGGAAGGCAGTGGCTGCTGGGAAAAACCTTTGACACTTTCTGCCCCCTGGGTCCTGCTTTGGTGACCAAGGACAGTATAGCAGGTAGGTCTCTGACAGTGCCTATGATAATGCATCTTGCTTTGCTCAGATATGTCAGAGCAAAGAAGTAGCAACGCTCAGGAAGTGAGAGTATGGGACAGTTCAATGTGGAGCCTCCCCTCCCCGCCTCCCCCAGCTGCCTTTCACCGATTCCCTACAGAGCAAGTCTCAACCTGGGCTCAGTGGACCTTCCACATCCCCTCACCCTCTAGAGGACCACAGCCACAGAGGTGGTGAATCTGCATTCGTCAGGTGAATTATAGGAAACAGTGTTCCCCTCGTGGTGGTTAAGCTCTCCCTAGCTGCCATCTGGGAGTCTAGACTGGAAGGAAGCAAAGCTGGCCCTTGAGCATCACAGAATGGCTGTCACAAAGCCCATGCATTTTCTGTCAGGGAGACAAGACCAACAGGACCCTGCCCAGCCACTGTGGCCAGGGCAACACTGGCTACCAGCAGCAAGGGCACCAGGTGCTGGGAAGAAAGGCCATGATGCAAAGGGCAAAGCATGGCATTTGGGTAGGGGTGTGTGTCCAGGGGGTCAGCCGTCAATCAACCGTGAAGTCAGATTGTGTTCTGTCTGCTCTAAGAGGGTGTGTTTGGGAATGTGTGAAATAAAAGACAAAAATGTGATTAGCCAGGACACTTACTGGTGTGCCACCACCTGCCAGTCAGGTACCAGAGGTTCACTGCCCTGTTCCTGCAGTTTCCTTTTTGCATTACAGGTGCTGAGTCTTTATTATTGTCAGTTGTTGCTGTGGATAGACGTCCTTCTTTTAAGGCACAATTGCCATTTTTTCCTCACCCTGGAGGGTCTGGGACACATTCAGGTGGGATTGAGGAAAAGCAGGAAGAGGTCCAAGGTGGTGTTTTGTGCATTTCAGATCCACACAACTTAAAGATCTGCTGCCGGGTGAATGGGGATGTGGTCCAGAGCAGCAACACCAATCAGATGGTTTTTAAGACAGAAGAGCTGATAGCCTGGGTCTCCCAGTAAGTGAGATGAAGCCCTGTCCTACACAGCTACCTGCAGCTGAGCCCTCCATCTCTGGCTATGGCCCCTCAGCCCCTGGTCTCACCTGGCCCTTTTGCTTGCCCCAGGTTCGTCACCCTTTACCCCGGGGACATCATCTTGACGGGTACGCCCCCAGGTGTTGGTGTATTCAGGAAACCTCCTGTCTTTCTCAAGGTAGGTTGGCCAAAAGAAAGAACGGGAGGACCCAGAGGCCTGACAGGCATGGCTCAGGCTTGAGAAGCCCAGGCCTGTGTATGTGTGTGTAGATTTGTGTGTGTCAGACTAAGGTCTACAACCTGGCGACCACTCCATTGCAGAAGGGCGATGAAGTCCAGTGTGAGATTGAAGAATTGGGTGTCCTTATCAACAAGGTGGTGTGATGGCTCCTGCTGAAGGTCCTGGACTTAAGATAGAGGTGGGCATCCACTCTCACTGTACAGGGCAAGGCCCAGTGCTTGCCCCCTCAAGGCTCCTCATCTAGGTAGAGGGGGGCATCTCTCCTCTTCAATAAACTTCTCAGACTAAGTCAGTAGCTTGGCTTCTGCCTGTCTTTTATGATTTGGTTCAGGGAGCACAAGATAAGGACATTGCCATGAGGTGCGGAAGGAGAGAAGACACTACATACCCCAAAACACACTGCTGGGCTTGGAAAGAGGACTGTCCAGTCCAGTCCTCTCGTTTATTACACCAAAGGATGGAGAAAGCAAGAGGCAGCGAGAGACAATCGAACCTCAATGATTTTACGGGCAGCCTCTGGCTCCAGGGCTCGGTGTATGCTGGGGCTGAGAAGTCTCAGTATAGGCTTAACCCACAGTTCTAGCTACAGATGAATTGCTGGATGAACTGTTCCAGCTTCTCTTGATTGTCCTGGCTGGCAAATGTAGGGGACAGGTGGAGCATGGGGCCTGCAGGGCTGGGCGTCTGCTGCAGCACCTATGCCACGGAGAAAGAGTGAACACTCACCATGGGGAAGCCTGCAGTGAGACCTCTGGCCCCTTAGGCCATAGGATTTGAACACAGTGCAGCCTCTTACACCATCCCCAGTACCCCACCTGGGAGTAGAATAAAGAGGTAGTCTGGGAGACCAAGGACAGGGAAACCATCCCATCTCCAACTCCTGCCGCCTGTTCTTGGGAGACAGTGGGGAAGACCCAGAGTGGGCATAGGTGGGCTTCCCTGAGCAGCTCTATCAAGATGGAGGGAGAGGGGATAGGAGGAGGGTGAGACTGGCCCCGCTCACCCCCAAGTCTCTGAAGGTCCAGACAGCTTTGATGGCGAGACTTGGGTCCGCACACTCTGGTGGAAGAAAGAAGCTGAGCTTGAGTGAGTACAGAGAGATTCTGGCATAGGCTTCTCCTCCTCTTGTCGAAAGAAGGAACCACCCAAGGCAGGACTCAGATTGTACCTAAAGGCCTTTCTACTGTAGCCCTCCTTCTTGGAGTGGGGCTGTCACTGCCCAGTAGAGGGCAGCAACCACCAGCAAGCCCCTGCCTCCTGGGCACCACCTGGCTGCTTGGGACTCACCGAAGAACCCGTCCTCCTGGGCAGTGGCCTGCAGGAACTGGAACAGCTGCTCCACGTAGCCTGACACTGTGGGGCAGAGGAGACTCAGGCCTGGCACAGGCACAGCCTGAGCTCTCAGCCCCTCCCTACGGAAGTCCAGGAGAGTTTGGGCCTTACCCGTGTCAGGCAGCCGGCCCTGGTGGAGAAAAGTGGCAGCCTGTGCAAAGGCCTTGAGCAGCGGGTTAAGCAGGCGGCACAGGAAGAGGAAGAAGTCGGGGCAGCGCGACTGCTGACTGAGCTGGAGGGGACAGACCAGGTCAGGGCAGCTCCCACTGTCTCCCCTGCCTCCTTCCCCAATGGCTTCTCCCAACGTACCCTGAAGTACCGGCCTTCAGCCTCCTCGAAGTTGTCACTGTCACTATCAGTAAAGTCCCCACTCGGTTTCCACAGCAGCTTGGCCCTCAAACGCCGTCGCCCTGTGTCACAAGCCTGCCGGGAGCCTGGGGTCTGGGAGCCGGAGGAGCCATTGGTCTGTCAGGCTGGCCAAGATTCAGCCCCGAGCCCCCAGATCAAGTACATGGCCAACCAGGCACTTGAGGGAAACCAGTAAAAGCAGACCTAGGGAACTCAGGAGGCCTCTGCGGGCCACACAAGACCTGCTGAGCCAACTTGCAGGGTGAGAGGAATAGGCACCCACCCTCAAGGTCCACAGCCCTGTGGGTAAGAAATGGGGCAGGAGGAGTGCAAAGACCCTCAGCGGTACAACTGTGCAACCCTGTCATGATAGCTACGTGGGCCCAGTGCTGGTACGGCCCACCAAGTCCCACGGCACAGAATAGCAGAGGCACTGTCTTCAGTGGCCCTACCTACCTCCTCAGCGACCAGAAGCCCACACTGGATGAGACGGTCCAGCACCTCCTGACAGAAGCAGTAGGAAGATTGGCAAGGCTGGGGAGAAAGGCATCAGGTAGCCTTAGGAGAGCCAGAAAGGGCTTAAGGGAAGGGGTGGGGCAGGCACAGCCCCTCCTATAACTGAAGGGGTGCCAGGCCCGAGGGGGCAGTGGGAGGCCTGACCTGCAGCAGCAGCATGTCCTGTGGCAGCAAGTGCAGCAGCAGCAGGACCTGGCGGTACAGCTCATTCTGGCCCAGCAGCTCGATGCCCTGGAGCTCCCAGGGCCCCTCTGGTGGCACTTTGCTTGCCAGCAATGCCCGAACTGCACAGGCTGGGGAGGGGGCCAGGCATGAGGAAGGAGGCCATTCCCTAATCTGACACCCCACCCATCCCTGAGCCCTCAGGACTCACCACCCAGGGCCTCATTCAGGAAAGCAGGCAGCAGCTGGGCGCTCAGGCGTGCCAAGTGCATGAGGCCTGGGCCGGGCCGAGTGATCACCAGCAAGTCCCCCTGGTGGATGCGCAGCAGAGCCACGTGCGCCCGCAGCAGGCTCAGTGTGTGCCGCACCAGGCACCGCAGCTGACCTGAGAAGCCCACGTCAAAGCCACGCAGCAGCGTTTCCTCTGTCAGCCAGGAGAACTCACCCAGGAGCTGCGACAGGTACACACCCTGGTGGGCAGTACCAGGGCTGAGCAGCAAGGTCACATCCCTTCCCCAGCCATCCCTCATCTTCCCATCACACTGCCTACCTTCTGGTGCTTAAACAGCAGCAGCGTCGCCATAATGGCTGTGCTCATCACCGCAGAGCTTGCCACACTGGCTGTAGCGGGGGTGGGGATACTGGTAAGGAGCTTAGGTCCAGCAGCTGGTTCATCACCCAATGTTTGGGCCAAGAACAGTCCTCCCCTGCTTCCTTGGCAGCAGCCTGCCTCCCCAACAACTCTACCCTAGGGAGTTGTAGGCCCCTTCCCAGTGGAGAACTGGCATTACTAAGTGTATACTGAGACAGGCATGGAGCCAGGGACCTTCCCTGCCTATAGGCCTACCTACAAACCCAGTGTCTGCCACAGAGGCGCACCTAAGACGACAGTAGTAATGACCATTTTATTAAGAATCCCTCTGTGCCAGGCACTGTGTTAAGTCCCTCACATGCATTATTCCAGTCAGTGACCCATTTATAGTGCAGATCAGAGAGGTGAAGTGGTGAGCTTGAGACAGGGCCAGGGTGACCTTGGATCCAGGCATCTGCCCTCTGCACAACCCATACTCTGCAGCTCAGGCAGCCATCTGTGGGCACTCACTAGGGGCTTCCTCATGTTCTCCCTGGTTGCTTCACTCCTCCTCACGTATCCCAAGTGGGCCACACATGAGGGTCAGGTACAGAAACCCACTTGGAATGGAGGGCCCCTAAGACCTGCTGACCCAGAGAGAAGGAACAGCGCAGGACCCTCCCCCGTTGCCCAGACCTAGTTCCCCTCACCGTTCAGGGTGTGACGGCTCAGCCTCCTGACCAGGAGCTGGTCTTCTTCCTTGAGGGCCAGAAGGGGCCCAGTTATTGGGGTCCACTCCTGCTCCTTCTCAGTGTCGGGGACAACAGTACTGGGACAGAGACAGATCACAGGATGAAGGGAGCCAACCTAAAGACAGTCTTGAGGAAACCCAGAGCTTTCTCAAAATGGTGTTTCCCCAGCTCAGCTCCAGGGCAGGATGGCTCCCCAGCCCTTTCTAGCCCTGCCATTTCCCACACTGAGATTAGAGGTGAGGAGGGCTGTGAGGCTCTGTCCTAGATGACCCAGAGTATCTGATGAGAGGAGGCCAGAGCTGGTGATGTCTATGGGTATGAGTTGAAAGACTGCTTGCTGTGCCCCTGAGAGCCACACCTTCCCCTGCTGCTACCCCTACCTTTGGCCCAGCACAATGGGCTGCAGTAGCTGCTCCATGGTCTGCCTGCTGCCCCAGCAGCTTCTCGAATTGGTGGTGTATTCCTGCCCAGAACATGACTCTCAGGTGGCCTATCTGCCCACCAAACACCTGCACACAGTCCACGGAGGTAGGCGAAACTATCCCTGTAGTGGCCCTGAGGGCCAAGCTGCCAGAAGCCCCATGCAGACCACAGATCCTCCCAATTTTGCCCAACAGACATCATACCTGCAGGGAGAAAGGCTGGGCCAGGTGCACACGGGCACAGACCTGGGGGCCGCAGCACCAGCCTCGCAGGCTACGTAGGACAGCCAGAGCTCCTGTCCACAGCCCCAGTGGGGCCGTGGCCTGCAGGAAGAAAAGGGTTAAGGGAGCTGGCTCACCTGGTGCAATGCTCTCTGCTCAACTTTATCTTACAATCTGGTACATGACCATGACCTCTCCAAGCTCATGTTCTCATCCATGAAACACGAGAAATCCCTCCCTAGCAGGGTCTTTTGTGTATGAAAAGAGGATTTCTGTATCAGCAGGGCAGGCGCCACAGGATGACTGTAGGGGGATAATTCCTTTGCACCTCCCTGACCCTCGCCCCGGGGGGCACTCAGCCATAGGACATAATACACTGTGCCTCCTCTCTGGAGTTGGTGTCCACTTGGAGTTCCAAGTGGCAGGAGGGTCTCACATGGTGTGTATCACATACATCTGGAGCCAGGTCATAGGTGACGGCCACCGGCACCAGCATAGCATCTTGGACAACACCCATCTGGACTGCCTGCACCACCAGTCCCAGCCAGGCCTGGCCCAGGGCCGACAGCCAAGGCCCCTGGGTCCCAGGGAGCTCTTCCAGGAAGATAAGCAGGGGCTCCCTACTGACCAGCAGCTGCTCCACAACCTGGAAGGGGTGGGGAGGTGGTAGCAGAGACAGGTGTCAAGGCCAGAGCAGCAATAGGCACTGAGCCCCAAACACAGGATACACTGGGGGCACTCACCGCTTGGACCACAGCCCTTGCAAGAACCCCTTCGGAGCTGTCCAGGGAGAGGTTGGCCTCTGGGGGCAGGAAAAGCGCCCCAAGCTTCCTCAGCAGAGCTCTGTGGGGCACAAGGCAGACAGAGTCTGATGAGGGAAGGGGCTCAGGAGATGGGACCAAGCAGGAGGCTAGGAAGAGCCTCAGCCCTCCCAGGGCAGCCTGGCTCCTGTCTGAACATGCTCAAGTCA